CAACCGCCGCGAGCTTGAGGACTTCGACCACCAGATCGCCCGCCGCCACCACGCCTTCTCCGACAACTGGTCCGCGGGGAGCTCATCGGGCGCATCGAGCTCGCGGCTCATTCCAGTGAAGAGCAAACCGGATGAGGGGATCTCGCCTCGCGCCGTGCCCGATGCGCCGCCGCGCCGAGGAGTCATCGGGCCCGAGGACTACCTCCCCCCGGGGCAGGAGGAGCTCCTCGAGCGTGTCGTCCTCGAGCTGTCGGTGAGGGAGCAGGAGGAGATGGAAGAGCGCATTCGGTGCGAGCTCGAGTACGAGCGGCTCTTCCTCCAGACAGACATCGCCGCGTCGCAGGCGCACGTGTCCAAGGAGGCTGACCTGCGAGTGATGAAGGCGAAGCAGGCGAAGCTCTACATCGACCTTGACTCCTCCTCCGACTCCGACTGAGCACCACCGCTAGGGGGCAGCTAACGCACGAGCTCCGGTGAGCTCAATTTTGTGTAGTGGTACGGTACCATAGGCCTGTTCTAGCTCCGGCGAACTTATATGTAATATATGCAATGTTGTGTACGAACTTATGTGAAGAAGAACTATCTATGTGAGCGAGCTCCGGCGAGCTTTTGCTTAAATTTCTCGCGCGAAACAAGTTTTAAAGATTTTACGGGTTTGGATACAGTTTCTGCTCTGTCGCCACGAATTTCAGCCTGCATAAGCGACGTCGTGCGAACTGCAGTTTGCAGTTCGGCGAAATGCGGGGTCTACTAGAGTTGCTCTCAACATAGTACTTCCTCTCCCTTTCATAGCGTGTGTTTGGTTTTTTGTCATTAAGAGCATCTCCAACAGCGGTGGCAAATATCGCGCGGAGGGAGGGGAAGCTGATTTTAGCGGGCGCCGGAAATTTCGGCGCTCTGTAAAAGATCACGCATGGGGGGAGGCAGCCCTTCGCGCGCAAGATTTGGCGCGTGGCGTCTGGCACTCACTACAAAAGGCGTGCGTCCGCTCCCTCCAGCCGCACACTCGACCGCTCCCTCTAGCCACACACTCGACCGCTCCCCTCGCCGCCCCTCTCTTCTTCGCTCCCGCCGCCACCGTCGACATGTCGCTGTGTCGCCGAAGAAGCTCGGGCTACCACGGCATCCGTGTCCGCCCTTCCGACTGGTTCCACGCGGAGATCAGCTCTGGCAACGTGCGTCTCAGTCTCGGGACGTTTGAGACCGCACACGAGGCCACCCGCGCATACAACGTTGCGGCGTGGCGCCTCAGCAGGCCACGCTCGCAGATGAACTTCCATGACGCGCAGACGTGCCAGCAAGCGCAGGACCTCGCGTCGCCGCCTCGTCTTATAATAGACCAGGACCGTGAGGAACACCGCAGACGCGAGCGCTGCCTCCTCATCGCCGAGGCGGATGAGCTAGCCATGACGGAGTGGCGCCAGCGCTACCCGCAGGACGTCGCCGACGAGAACGCCTTCTGGGCGGAGAGGACAGCAAGGCGACGTATGGAGCGGAAGGCAGTCGCGGAGGCGCAATGCGATCTTGTTAACACGGGTGGAAAGTCGTTCTTCGACTCAGACGATCCTCATTGGGAAGACACGTGGCTCGATACCTCGGACGACACCAGCGAGAATGATGATGACGACTCGGAGTAGGTTCTAGTTGCACCGTAGTTTTTATCGTGTTGGACTAGTTTTTTTATCTATCTATGCTATGATGAACTATGTATGCTATGTGAACTATCTATGTATCGCTATTTTATCTATTTTAATCTATGCATATGTTTTTTTATATTTGTTCGGAGTGCATATGTTGCTTGTGCGACAGCGCACGTGCAGTTTTTTGCAGCGGCTCGCGCGCGCTAAAATTTGCAGCGGTGTCTGGAGCAAACGCACCCCGCCGCACAAAAACAGGCGATCCACGCGCTCCAAATGTGTTTTTAGCGCGCCGCGCGTAGTGCGGCTGTTGAAGATGCTCTAAGAAGAAACCGTGGAATGGAACGGGCCCGTTCTATACCCAAGAGGCTAGTCCACAACTTGGTTAGGCTAGTTATCGCTGGAACCATATGACACTAGTATATGTTAGAGCATCTACAGCCGTAGCAAATATGACACCGTAAACACCCATGAACACGCCGGGTCAGTGACTGGGCGTGTCCGTTTTGAACCTCTATTTATCAGTTCACGCAGCCACACTCCTCGTCGGTCATTTTGCACATGATTGGTAGAGATGAAAAGAGAGAAATAAAAGAATGCATAAAGAAAAGGTAAGGTGGTCTGGGGTGGGGCCGCGTCCTATGTGGCGGAGTGCTCGGGCGCGTCCGCGAGCCCTCATATCCTCCCCATATTTGTGATGGACTAGTGGTTGGGGCGTCACCCGATGACGCCTTCTGAAAGGAAGTTTGTGCGGTGTCAGGTAGGGTGCCACACTTTTCATTGAATTTTAGCTTTGATTGATAACACACATGTATGTATAGCTGATGCATTACATACGATGGCTTGTCCAAATTCAGCAAATAAACATGCAATCTTAACACTATATCTATCAAATGTTCATGTTCATCATGTCGTTGTACTCCCAAACTCTAGACTTGTCGCTGCAGTTCAGGTACACGTAGAATAAACGCCCTCCGCCAACCCCACCGAGCCGACACTCACCTTCATCATTGCCTACTCGAGGGGGTGGAAGCGGAACGCTGATATCTCGTTGACACAGAATTCTTGCACGCCGTAGTGCAGCCAGTGGCTGCACTTGCCGCCGAGGTCGACGCTGCTGTGTTGTAGTGTCTTGACGAGCAGGAGGACCGCGCTACCCCATGCACACACAGAGCACCACCAGCCGCAGCAGCCGCCACGTCTGTCGGCTCTCAAACCTAGATGAATCCCATTTGATTTTGATCAAAACCAACTAATCTGTTACATCAGCAAGGAACATATATAGTCCCTCCATCACTTATTTATGAACGGAGGGAGTAGAAGTAAGAACACTGGGAACAAGAATGAAACAAAATAGGCAGGGAGAATACCGAGAATTAATATCAGGCGAGAAAAAAAACATGAGAATCAAATCTGGTGGGGTGGAGGGAGACAGGACTGGCCTGTAAACTCACTAATCGTTGAATTCGTCCACTCGGGATGTATTTGGTTTGTGTCACCAGGTGGAAACGGGCCCATCTCGTCCCTAGAGGCCGTTCTCCTGTTTGGTTGGGTCGAGGAATCGGAACTCACTCGTTCTCAGGAATGGCATATTCCTCCTAGATCCGGAACGCGCTAGTACCTCCGAATCGGTGGCGGAACGCCTCCCGTCTCTCACATTTTCCCCGATGTTGTCCCCTCTCTTCTGCTGGTTATCTCCTCCCACCACCAACCAGGCACCTATTCCTGCTCCGGCCGGCACAGAGAGCTTCATTAGTACAGCAACATCTAGTCTTTCATTATTTCTGCTTGATGTGTATGTTGGAATTTCTACCTATATATGTAACTTGTTAAATACTACAAAATAGTGTGAATTTATGTTTGATATATGCTTGAATGTATTTATAAACTGTGCGTGTTGCAAATAAAATTCAAATGTTTTCTCAAAATTTGAATATTATGTTCCTGAAAATACAAAGAGTTAAACTATTCATATTGTTGCGGAAAATTACTCCATTCCAACTGTGGAACCAAACACCAGAACGTAACCATTCCATTCCATCTAATACCCATAGCCAAACACAGGAACGGAACCAACCCATTCCCGTGGAATGGAAATATGAAATTCCATTCCACTTGGTTCTTGAACCAAACACACCCTCAATGTCTCCCATTCAAATGTGTTGTTCATTGTGTATCACCAAAAATTCGAGAAGATTGTCTCGAAATGAATCAAGTAAACATAATAGGTCTCAATGGAAACAAAAAGGACATAGTAATGTACTCCCTCTGTAAACTAATATAAGAGTGTTTAGATCAATATTTTAGTGATCTAAATGCTCTTATAATATTTTACAGAGGGAGTATATATGAGAGTGATGATGATTCTCATTTCTATTATGTGTTATCCCTATGCCAATATCCCTCCTAATGAATAACATATAGTACAATTAGCAGCAGTGCAAAAAATTGCGTCACCAACAATGAAGTGCCTAAACCTGTAGAGAATCTGACCAAATTCAGAAACCTAATTAATTTTTTTGAGGCAAATTTCATGTATTATCTAGCAGCTATTTAGGCTCTATTGCACCATTTTCATTGGGTGATTGAAATTTAGCAACTATTATCTAGCAACAATAAATGATTTTTTTGTTAAACCTAATTAAATTGCACAAAGAGTAATCGTGACTGCGGCCATCAAAGTTCAACTGATAGTGTTTCACTTTTGCGAGTAGAACTTCTAGCCAAATCAAGGAAGAGAAATATCTTAAGGGAGTAAGAGTCGGCCAACATACTATAAGAAGCTAAAATAACTGGAAAATACGGCATGCCCTGAAAGTTCATTACCATCATCATAAAGATGAGAACAAATACCTGAGTACTCAACTGGTGAGTGCAATAATCTTATCAGGAGAAAAAAACTTTCCCTGATCCATTAAGCAAAGACTCACATGATCCACTTCAAACAACCAAAGAGAAACTTAGTTAAACCGTCACATTATGAGTACACAAATGAATTTCTTCCTACTTAATACATTCTGTTGCAAAGTTTACAGTGTATTAATAATAGCAAATGACTAATTTTGCTTTATGCCACTACTCAGAGCCCGTGTGCCTAGTAGAAAGAACATTTTATTTTAGTAGACCAATGAAGAAAATGCACGCATGACTTATATCTGGGGTAGGAGATCTCCTGAATAGGCGAACGACTTCTAGGTCTCCTCCAGGCAGTGGTCCTTCTCTTCCCGAGACCAGCTCTGATAGCGAATGTAAGCAGGTTAAGACCAATCCGTGGGAGGATAAATGAGTAGCCAAGAATAAGAGCATGAAAATCAAAGCTCTTGGACTTACAAAAGCAACTTGGTTTAGTGTGGTGCGGACATTCTACAGCAGCTGGCACATGGTACTTTCCCACTTGTAGAACTCCAGCTCTTTCTTGTTCAGAATCTTCTCAACAACCTGAAATGAAGAGACGGCATGATTACTCAATTAAAGGATATCAATTCATGGAGAAACAAACACTCATGCGACACGAACAGATTATGGGATAACATGATGCTATGATTTCGAAAGTACAAAACCAGGATTCAAGGTCCAAACCAAAATGGATAGCTATAGGATGATTATAAAGTTATATCTACATAGCAGTCCCAGATATAGAAGTAGATGTGTATATAATGTGATATATACTCCTCAACAAAGTATACACAGTAATACCACGCTTCTACCTCCTATTGGAATTTCAATCAGCCCAACCAGAAGAATGAGTTGTAAGAACCAGAGCCAACACATGCTTTACAAAAATATGTGGAGTCATTCAAGCACACACCATTTGACTCAGATGAAAGTTCTGATACAAGTCTATTTTATGCAAAGACATACCTTTTTGCCAATCATTCGCCCTCCAGCAGTATGAGCAAAGTACACATTATAGAAGTGACAGATAAATGCTTGGGGGTCCTTCTCACACAACTCTTCCAGGTAGGAGGCACATGCAGTACCAGCGGCAGATGGTTCTGGAATGGTGTGGCCCTGTTCCATGAACCATTCTAGATCTTTCTTCAGTGGCTCTGATCTCTCCAACCCAGTATTCCTGAACTCCACAACTGAAAGGCATAAATAATGAGACTGTCAATCAGCAGATCAAGCTAACAAAGATGAAAGAAACATTCCAAATTTTTCCTAGAGACCCTAAATGCAGAAACAGATTATATAACTTGTGCCATGGTACCACTATAAGATTTCAGTAATTATGACGTTTATTGTTCTAAAACAGAATAAATGAAGTACCACCATCGGCGGGCATGCTCTCGACCTAACCACCTCAGCCAGCAGCGGCGACAGGATGCGGGCTCCAGAGAGGTGTGGCAGGGGGCATGTCGACCAGGTCTGGCTTGACCTCGTCCTCCCGCGGCTTCCTAGGGAGGAGAGCTCGCGGCACCGTCCGCCTTGTCATCAGCGTCATGGGGAAGAGCAGGGCCATGCCTTGCTACGAGGAAGAGGAGAAGATCCGTGGGAGAAGCCGGCCTTCCTTCGGCGGCCCGTGCCGGTGGAGCGATGGGGTGGCGGCGGCTGCAACCCTAGCTTGGGAAGTGGGAAGGCAAAAGGAGATATGAGGTTAGGTGTGAGAGATTACAGGAGCCCCTGCCGAATCCACACATTTTCCCCTTTTTCTTTCTGTCCTTCGATGTTTTTTCTCTTTTGAGAAAACCAGCTTTGCTTCTCTCCCTCGACGTTGCACACTAAAAACGGGAATGACGTGGCTAGAGCGGGAGGGCGCCCCTTGCGCGTAGTTTATTGTGTTTGATATGAGGGTTCGCGGGCAGGCCGGGCATATAGGGATGATATGAGAGGTCACGTCGGGTCACGTTTTTCCTTCTCTCTCCTGTCCGCAGGCACATGAGGGGTGGTTTGAGGCCTCCTGTTGTAGATGCTCTTGCTCCCTTTATAGGGCTTCTTTGATTCAAAGGAATTTTATAGGATTTCTGGAGGATTGAAATCCTTAGGATTTTTTTCTATATTGGTCCTTTGATTCATAGGATTGGATCTCATAGGAATTTTTCCTATGGAATCTTTTGTACTACATTTCATAGGAAATTTAACATCCACTCCAACCTCTTTTTACAATTCCTTTGTTTTTCCCGTGGCATCAAACAATCATTACTAATTCTATAGGATTCAAATAGGCATGCCACTCCAACCCTACACTTTTCCTATTCCTACGTTTTCAAAATCCTACCAATCAAAGAGGCCCTAAATGCATAAGGCGTCTAATAAAAATTTAGCATTTCAACGTGATCATTACACTAGCGGCTTCTCCCGATTTTCCAAGATGAGCAAATTGGAGTCATTATTGTCATTGATTTTTCATTTAATATTCTCTGTCCAATCTTCACGCACCTAGGTTGCAATGCAGCTCCTTAGATGCCCTATGCGATGTGTTACTTGTTAAGTTTCTCCCAATATGACCAGCCTCTGGCTGAGAAGCAGAATGCAGTCGTTCTTGGAACGGAATATAGTGCATATATTAAGTCAAACGTTGCAAATTTTGACCGCATTTATAAAGAAGATATTTACATCTAGAATGTAGTTTCATATTTTATACATTTGATATTGTAGATATAAATAGTTTTGTCTATAAAATTGGTCAAACTTTACGAAGTTTGACTTTTTTTAAAGTATGCACTACATTGTCGGATGGAGGGAGTAGTATTTTATACTTCTCTATCTCTATTGAAAAAATGTAAGGGCATCTCGAATGCATTTCGGACGCTCAAGCCACCCGCAAACATATGGGAATGGACTGAGTTTTCCAGACGCACTCCGCCACCAACACGGTACCCCTAACTATCTGTTTATGCATTCAGTAGACCAAATTTTCGCAAACCAAACACAAAGTGGGCTTTGCGGGCGTCCGGATCACCACCACGTACGCGTCCGACGAACTGTTTTCACCCAAAAATATATAATGCACTCTCCCGCATGAACGCACCTCCGCTCTACGCGCCTCATTCATGCTGGTCCAAAGAGGACGCGGGTGACAGTGTCCTGGACTAGGGGACTAAGCACATCGGCCTACCAGGCGTGGGCTGGGCCGAGGACCCCAAGACGACCGAAGAATGGGTTGTGTTTGCCTTGACCCACGGCGTACTCAAGATGTAATCCTTCGAAGACTTGGCGTACACTTCAAGAAATGTTTGAATCATCGACATGCTTATCCCTTGATGTAACCGACCTACATGTAACACTAGATACCCCCGGTGCCAACATAAGCCGAGGGGTTTAGTCCATGGGGTCAAGTAAGATTCATTCACAGATGATCTCGAGGTAGATCATCATGTACTTTGTACTCCACCCAAAATCAATACAATAGAATCAGGATGTAGGGTTTTACCTCTTCGAGAAGGCCTGAACCTTGGTAAAACATCATGTCCCTCTTTGTCATGTTACCATCAAGCTAAGATCACTAGCTCGGGACCCCTTAATGGAGATCTGTCAGATTTAACTCTGACATTGGTGGCCCATGCAGGTCTCGTTGTGTGGTCAAAGCGGTTTGATGGCATCATCGTTCAATGACCAGATCTGCTCTAGTGTAGTTTTTATGCCGGAGCCCTAAACCTCGGTTCGACTGAAACGCCGGATAAGCCTGAAGCTCCGGCTCCTTGTCAGGACACCGATCTCGACAACCTAAACCCTATGGGTGCTTCCTCTGCCATGACATTAGATCTGGCCGAGGAGCCACATAGGAGCATCGCGCAAATGCCGGTTTCGCACCAGCTAGGGGACGAAAGTTACATTTCATCGAACCAAGGCTGGAGCTCGGGTTTGATGACTTACAACGATGGCTAAAATAGCCAGGCCGCACAAGCGATCCCGAGGTCAACGTCAGATCGGTTTGGAATAACATTTCATCTTCCACCCACCCACATGTCACTTATTGCCCCTATAACTCAAGGGTTTAACATCTGGAATCTAGCTCTCATTGTACAAAAGAAAAAAGAAACAGTCCGGCAGTTCTGGATGCGATTCTTGTTTGTAAAGAACAAAATCCCAGATTGCCCAGTTGGGGTGGCCTTAGCGGCATTCCGTCACAATTGTTATGATGAAGGAACTAGAAAACTATGGCACGGAAATGTCTTAGAACTGCTACTTCTTGAGCTTGCCATTGATTATTCCCTTGAAGAGGAAAGGGTGATGCAGCAAAGTAGAGATAAGTATTTCCCTCAGTTATCAAGGTATCAATCCAGTAGGAGGCACAAGCAAGCCCCCAATATATGCACCTACACAAACTAACAAACACTTGCACTCAACGCGAAAAAGGGGTTGTCAATCCCTTCACGGTCACTTGCAAGAGTGAGATCTAATAGAGATAGATCTAAAAGATAAGTAAAAGGCAAAACAAAGTAAATATAAATAAGTTGCAGCAAGGTATTTTTTGGTTTTTAGTTTTATAGATCTGAAAAATATATGATGGAAAATAGACCCGGGGGCCATAGGTTTCACTAGAGGCTTCTCTCTTGAAGAAAACATACAATGGGTAAACAAATTACTGTTGAGCCATTGATAGAAAAGTGCAAAGTTATGTCAATATCTAAGGCAATGATCATGAATATAGGCATCACGTCCATGACAAGTAGACCGACTCCTGCCTGCATCTACTACTATTACTCCACACATCGACCGACTCCTGCCTGCATCGAGAGTATTAAGTTCATAAGACAAAGTAACACCTTAAGCAAGATGACATGATGTAGAGGGATAAACTCAAGCAATATGATATAAACCCCATCTTTTTATCCTTAATGGAAACAATACAATACGTGCCTCGCTACCCCTACTGTCACTGGGTGAGGACACCGCAAGATTGAACCCCTCACAAAGCACCTCCCCCATTGCAAGAAAAATCAATCTAGTAGGCCAAACCAAATCGATAGATCAAACAGAAATATTAAGCTATCTCAATCATGCATATAGAGTTCATAAAAGACTCATATAATATTCATAGATAATCTAATCATAAATCCACAATTTATCAAATCTCAACAAACGTAGCGCAAAGGAAGATTACATCAAATAGATCTCCAAGAACATTGAGGCGAACAATGTACTGAAGGTCAAAGAGAGAGAAGAAGCCATCTAGCTACTAGCTATGGACCCTTAAGTCCGTGGTAAACTACTCACGCTTCATCGGAAGGGCAGCAAGGTTGGTGTGGAGGCCCTCCGTGATCGAATCCCCCTCCGCCGGAGTGCCGGAAAAGGCCCCAAGATGGGATCTCACGAAAACAGAAGCTTGCTGCGGCTAAAAAGTATTTTTTTGTGTGCCCCTGATGTAAGGGGAATATTTGAGAATTTATAGTTGTTGAGTTAGGGTTGGAAGGTCTCCAAGGGGCCCACAAGCCTAAGGGGGCGCCTCCCGTGGGGCGCGCCCCTAGGGCTTGTGGCCTCCTCGTAGGGAAAGATTCAAGCATACTTGTTGGGGATATTACTACTGGACGTAAACCGGCCAGGGGTAGCCAGATTAACCTTATGAAGACTAGAAGCCCGTGAAGACGTAAGAATGATGGCGCTTTATGAAGGCCCAAGGCCCAGAGGCGAGTTAAGGCATGTAGATGTAAATCGACCTTGTTATGTAACTTGCATTGTAAGATAGGAAGGATAGAGACCGAACCAAACACGTTTATGATCCGGCTCCGGGACTCTGTAAGCCGGCGGGCGTCAACCTATGTATATAAAGGGACGACCCGGCAGCGGTTTAGGGACAACAGACAACAACTCGAAAGCCAGACAAAGCGGATTCGCTCCCTGGCCTTCGAAACCCTAGCAATACCAATCACAACTAGATGTAGGCTTTTACCTTCACCGAAGGGGCCGAACTAGTATAAACTCCCCGTGTTTCCTTGTCCGGTTTAACCCCTTCAAGCTAACCCGTTGCGATGGCTCCACGACTAAGTCCTTTCACAAGGACATCTGCCGTGACAAACCCACGACAGTTGGCGCCCACCGTGGGGCTATCGCACGATGGTTTCGAGTTCTTAAAGGGCAGCTTTGATGGACTCAAGGGATACGCTGTGGGCTGGATGATGAAGAGTCGTCGCGGCAAGCTCTACATCGACAACGCGGGATGGGGTCCCGAGGCCAATTCAATCGAATACGGGTACCGGGTCCGCTTTGGTGGGATTCATGTCTTCATCGGCAAGATTGGCGAACCGGCCCCTGAGCCGGACATCTGCACCGACATCATCGAGACGGCTCAGCGTGCAAGCCCTTCGCCGATTCAGCCCGTGGCGAAGCATGTTTTCGTAGGTG